AAAATACAGAGATATTTATACATATTGAATAAATAATAAAATAAACTAAACTAAATATATTGAAGGAAATAAAGTTGCCATTTTGCTAGGTAATAAAGTTGCTGTGTCAATAAAATTACCAGATCTGCAGGCAACTAAATAGACATTTATGATCTACGTGATTATCAAAGGCAATAAAATTGACTTCATATTCTACCAATTAAATCTTTCTAAAATTTTACCTGTCACAACGGCTATTATTATCGAATCTTTTGTACCCTCTCCAAATGGCCTTTAAAATGTGAATGTTTCATAGGTCGCCATATAATACTCAACTATTAAGTCAAGCATATCATTCGTAATTATAATTTTATTCAACATTAGTCTAAGCATTTTGCCTGAAAATGGTTCTTTTCCAGTAATATTTGATTGATGAATGTATCTGAAAATCAACCAAAAACGTTACATTTCATTAGTGAAAATTGTTCAGCTTTCGAAAGCGAACTAACAGATAATTAATTATTAAGAAAGTCTAAGCCTTTTATCTCTATATCAGAATTAATGATATTACTAATTTGATTATCAAACATCAGATAACACATGATTTTTGGTTCAATCTTTCTCCTGCTATTTGGTAACCATCCTAAATTTACCAATACGTTATTAAATGAAAATAAGTAAAAAGCAATTGAAAATATTGAAAATATAATACCTAACATCCCATTCATACGTTCGAAGAAAAAGCACCAAAAAGTATACAATAGACTATAATCAAATAAGTATTTATATAGGTAAAATAACAGATATAAATTTGGTGTAATTTTATCATGACCATAATTTTCCTCTATTAATTTTACTATACTAATCAATCTCTGATGGGCTTCTCTTATGAAATTGACTTCTACTATTCGACTTACTAAAATTGAACAGATTCTCACAAAATGAACAAGAATCTTCCAGAAGATGTTCCCAAAGAAAGACTGTTGCGTATACAGTAAAGAATATCTACTATTGATCTGCAGTGAAATTTGAAAACCCATCGTTACAATCAACTTTTCTCAGAATTTAACCCAAATCTGACAAAACTTTAAATTTGTTCATTTTTTTCTGTACTATTTTCAAAAATTACAACATAATTATACCCTCTTCCATCCAAATTTTCTTAACAATTCACTTCATGATGCTCAAGAATAGGCAGTGCATCAGATTGATTGTAATAAATTAAATAGAATTGAAATATGAAAGACGCAGTAATTTGGACTACCTGACACTAGTTTCCTTTACAAACTGCTTTCTTGATGCGTTTGAATTGTAGTGTCTCCATCTTAAAGCGTTTTGATGATGTTGGCCCAGATCTTCAGAAATAAACCATTCATTTATATTGCTCATGCCAGCAGAATTGTGTTGTCTGTTTTCATAATTTGCTTTCTTTTTGCATCTATGGTATGCCACTAAAGCAGAAATATAGCTACATATCTTTCTTGTAACTAGTATGTCACATGAAATAAGTATTAGAGCTGCACATATTCTTTTTTCTTCTTAATAATATTCATACGTTTGATTTAAAGTAATACCTTCCTAAAGTGATACTAAGTCATCTACAATTAGTGCCAGATAGTGGTTTATTTTATGCAATCTAACCTCATCTAGACTAGGTAACAATCTAAGGATTAAGATTTTTTTACACTTGAATCAGATATCTCTCAGAAGATTTCAGATTGCAGCATATAATACTCCAGTGCTATGTATTATACTTTCAAAAGGTTAGAACTAATCCAAATTCAAAACTAACCCAAGATGCAAATCGGCAATATCATATTGAAAAAAATTTTTTGTATTTTCGTTTGTATCTTCTTTGAAAATTTTTCAAATATCACTGTCATAGATATCAGTTAATATATTATCGAAAGTTTGCTGATCTACCCAATGCTATAAGAAACCTTCAAAAAAAGGTTAACAATACAAGGCTTCCAATTGTTTCCTAATATTAACAAACAGAAATATCAATTTAGGTTTGATCGAAATATCATTTAATAACCTCATTTGCTGTGATAAAGGCATTTGACATAATCTTAATCTTCGAGTAATTGAATTAGAGAATTTGACATAATGGCATTTTATAACAGTAAGGTGTTCATCTTGTCAAAAATTTTTTACCTTCTGTTTATTATATAATTTATGATATTTAGGACAAATCACAAAACTATGAAATTTATCTTTAAAGTTGAGTGACTTTCTCGTAAGATATAAAATTTCAGGAAATGAATTAAAATCAGTATCACCAATTTCTATTAGAACAAGCTTCATGAATCGTATAAGTAATTCTATAGCTATTTCTAGTAAGTTAAATCTTGTTTGAAAACTCATTATCCACAATAATATCTATAAAAATCAACTATCATTTATTGTATATGAATCTGTAAGTGATTCAAAGGGTGGACATGAATAATTCTCAAAAATTTCATGAAGTTCATTATTAGGTAGGTCATTATCAGATGAATTAGAACCACTATTGATATTTTCATCTTCTTCTGTGATATATTCAGAAGTATCAGTTGTTGTATCTTCTAATTCAGCTATAATAATTAGTCGATTTATATATCTTTTAATCATTATTAAGGTAAGAATTTAAATTCAGTTTTGTTGTCTTTGGTATGCCTACCTTCATATTGATCGTGTCTGTGAAATTCAGCTTCTGGTTGGGATTTGACCAATGTCTTATCAGGTGGATGTCTCTCAATCTTTGTCTCTTCTGAATTATCTTCTAAGTTTTAATTTATTTCATCCTTTAGATTTTGATTAATTTTGTAAAGAACTTTTGTACAATAGTCAACCAATTTTCCATTGCATTTAATACAATCATACGTAATCAATTTTCCACTATGTAATATTGCAGAAGGAGAGTGTTCTGAAGATTCTTCAAGTATACCAGATATGGTTCTGTTTCTTTGTATATGTGATGAAAGTAGTGAAGGTCTTGCATAAGGTCTATCTAGATCTTCATTAAATACGCTTGATATTGGCCATTTCCTTATTATTTTGTAAATTATATCAATTTGTTAAAGATATTATTATAGACTTAAAGAAAATAATGGTAATGAAATTAAAGCTTTTGAATATTATAAAAAATTGGCTGATAAAGGATATAAAGATACACAATTTTAACTTGGATATTATTATTTTATTAAACCACTTTAATTAAATTAAATATTAACATTTAAATTGATGAGCATATTTTAAATTGATTTGATATTTATAATAAAATTTAAAATTTGATTAATTAAAGTATATTTAAGTTGATTGATATTTAAGATGATTTGATATCTATTTTGAAACTATAAAAGAGACCTCATTTTCTTCATAACTATCTTCACTTCTCTCTTTTATATTTTTCTACATTACTGTCAATTAATATGAATTAAAGAGAAAAAATTTCAAGTAATAAAAGTTCGAATAATACTCGTTCACATTCGTTAAGCTAATCGACTGAAAAGGAGTCTGATAATCCCAAACATTCAGTTTAAAGAATCAATTTGACTAGTTCCAGACCTCCTTCAGTTCAAAGAATCAATTTGACTAGTTTTAGATCTCCTTCAGTTCAAAGAATCAATTTAACTGGTTCCAGACCTCCTTCGGCTTTTTCTCTACAAAAATCTAATTTAACTAATTCCAGTCCTTCTCCTTTGGCTTCTTTATCCAAAAACTAAGTTAACCAATTTTAAACCCCTTTTAGCTTCTTTGAATCATTTAACTAGTTTCAGCCCTTCTCCTTCAGCTTTTTCGGCTAGTTCTAAATCCTTTTTGACTTCTTTGATTCAGAAATCATCCATTAACCTAGAAAAATTAGAAGCTATAAGAGGAAGGTATGGTATTTGGCTACCATCAAAATATGAAAAAGATGTAGTAACAGAGGCATCGAAAAAAAGGGAAGAATACAGGAAAAAAACTCCTAGCGATGATATAGATTTATCAGGTCAGTATATATATATATTATCAGTTTATTTTTTGTTAATAACTTTTATATCTTTTATATTTTTTACACAGAAGACAACTACTAGAATTTAGCAAAAGAATTATTCAATTTACGTATGAAATACAATCAGTTAGAACGATGAAATGAGGAATTATCAAAACATGCAGAAAAAGTATTTCATGAAATAAATCGTTTAAAGGAGGACAATGAAATACTTATCAGTATTAATTTAGATTTTAGCAATGAAAATAACAAATTAAATAATGAAAACGTAGAACTAAAAAAAGCATTTAGTCGAAGCCAAAGTTCTGTATCATTATTTAATGCATTAAATAACTCTTCTAGTTCTGATAATAAGCGATTGATAAAACGTCCTAAATTTGATAAAAAATCAAAGAAGAAAGGAAAAAAACCATTATGTCATGCTGATGATAAGGATTATGAATCATCAAAAAGTAGTAGCTCAATGAAAGAACCTGAAGAAATAAAAGCAAGGGTATGTAAATTTATACAATATACATTGAATAGATTTATACTTTTATACTAATTGTTCTAATTTTTGATTTTTATTTAAAACAAGATGAAGGTTATACTAAAAACAATTAAGCTAATTAACAATATTGATTATAATGAGACGTTCAATAGCGAACGAAATATTTGAATCTGGAGCAAACTAATTCTGAAACTCCAGAGAGCATTGAGGCTACATTTTCATTCTTCAGTTAGTCAACTAACGAAATGGCTTAATAGCCTTCACAAGTCCTATTGTTCGTAATCTAAGTTAAAGAGTACTGAAAGAATTACCAAAGATAATTGTTGTGTTCACAATAATGGTTGGATACAAGATGTAAATATTAAAATTAACAAATTTATATATATTTTTTTTGTTAAATATCATATATACTAATTTTTTATATCAATTGTTATCTAGAAAAGATTACGTCAAGTGAAAGTAGTGAAAGACCTTTATAAAAAGAGGATGAACGAATTATGAAATATGAGAAATGCAAGTTATTGTTGAATTTAGCTAATCAATTATACCACTCACCTGAAATTAGTGAAGATGATGAGGAAGATCTGAGTAAAACTATCATTTGTATTTATGATTACTTGTGACGCTCGAATGAGATTTGTAGTCTATTTTCTTTTCATATCTGATTTATTTCATTTTGTAATATTTTTTTTTAGCTGAAAATACTACTTCGAAATATTCTTGATCATTATTCTGAATCAATTCAAATGGCCAAGTTACAAAGAGATCGATAATATGATGATGAGTTGTAATACTTCGATTATATGCATCCAGAAAATGCTTCTAAATGAGCATATATCAAACAAAAGAACATAGCATTTGACACAAAAATTGATGGCTAAGAAGACAAAAAAGACAAGAAGATGAAGAAATTTTACAAGTTGAAGAAAATTGACAGTCAAAAAATGAAAGCCATTTCTGATGACGATATTATGGATGATTATTAACATATTTCTATTTGTCTTATTTTATTCTTTTTACATTTTTTTTAATTAGCTTTTATTTAGTCTTTTTATATCAAAACCATCTTAAAAGACATACAAATCGGCAAGTTTCTGCTCCTGTTAATAAAATTTATCTGTCAAACTTACTGAAGAATTTATTCTCTTTTATATTTATTTCACTTTTTTATTTTACTTATATATATATATATATATTTTCTATTTACTTTATTTTTATCATTCACTTTTACTTTAATTTATTCTTTATTTTTATATAAATACTTAAAATATGAATAAACATTTCATATAATAATTAAATTATATATTGAACATTTCGTATAATAATCAAATACTATATATACTATATTTTATAAACAAATTCTTATTATTTTTCCATTTTTTGATGAAACTTATTTCTGAATTTCATACAATTTTTGTCTGAATTTCTTTTTGAAGTATGTCTGATTGGCTGCTAATCGGTAACCAGTCAGAATTTAAATTTTTTAGAAAAATCAGATGTCTTTCATCTAAGATTCTGAATAAAATCAGACATCTGATTATATTTGATTTGGACTATTTTAACCAGTGCCAATAATTTTAGTTTTTAACTTAATTAAATTTATTACATAAAATTATTATTTTATAATTTTCTTATAATTTATAAGAATATATATTATAATTGAGAGTTTTCTTGTGAAAAGTTATAATAAATTGCAGAATGATTTCTTAATTGAGTATATTTCAAAAAATTATTCAAAAATTAAGGATATTCATTTAAATTTGCAGAATTCAATTTTGATTATGAACTAAGAATGGTTTTCAAATGATTTTTGATATATAATATTGATTACTTTTTGAATATTTAAATTTAAATTTGAATCTCAAGTGAAAATTTTATTAGAAATATTATTAATTTTGAAGATAACAAATACTGCATAATTATATAAATTGTATTTATTATGTAATTTGATTTTTAATTGATTTATTTTACATCAACATAATTTTAATTATCTAATATCTCATGATTTTTGTAATTAATAATGATTCATTTATCAGGTAAAAATTATTTATCAGACGAAGAATCATTTATAAAGTAAAAAAAAATTATCAAGCATTAATAACTTTATCAAGCATTATTTATATTAATAAAATTAGACTAAAAACTTATATATAGAATAATTTGTATAATAAGTTTTATTTTTTTCCTTTTTTTTTTAATTTATATATAATTCAGAAGATAAAATTTCTTGTAATGACCTTTTATTATTTTTATTTAATAGTTATGAAATCATTATATAACTATTTATATAGATTAGATTTTTCATCAATTTAATTATTCAATTTATCTAGATCAATATATTTTATTTAAAAATAAATTGTTAAAACTCAATTGTTTTATAATGTTACTATTTACTAATCTTCAGATTATAGGTTAAGGAAATCCTAAATCAAAAAAGTGATAATTGTTAATGGTAACCTAATATTATTATTTTAATTTTAATAGAAAAATAAACTTATTTTAAAAATCATGTAACTGGTAGATTGCAACTTGTATTAAATTGCTTCTAAAATTTTATTGTATTATAGTTTTTGCCTTGAAATTACTTCATAAAATAGAAGTTTATAGGCAAAAAAAACTTAAGATTTTGATAGTATAACAATATTAAAATTAGGTAGTATTTATAATAATTGCAAGATGATAGAGATAATATCTTTATCATATACCTACTAAGTGTTTCTATCCAAAATATTTATAAGTCAAATATTATTTAAACAAATTGTTTATATGCATAGTCAAATTGTTTTTATAAAAAATTTAATTTATGTATATAACGGGTTTATTTAAGAAAATTAAACAGGTCATTCAAATATAATTTACATAATATATTCCTTTTATTTTTTATGATTATATTTTTCTCTTATAAATTTTATATTTTAAAATTTTTTTTCTTATTTATTAATATGAAAATATAGATTGTTGAGATAATACTTAATAAATTGTTTTATTTTAAATAATTTTACATCAAAATTTGTTTGTCTAATATAAATAACCTTCTGAACTAATTAATATGAATATAAAGAACTAAGTGTAATTATAGTTAAAATTATAATAAATCTATAAAAATCATAAAAGGTAACAAATATTTATGACTATTTAAAGTAAAACCTAAGTATCACTTTTTATTTTTTACTATATATTTTACCTTACTACTATAGAAAAAAAAGAATCAGTGAATAATTTAATTTCAAATTTTTTGTAAAAGCTGATTTAAAAGATAAAAGATAAAATTATATTTTATTATCTTGGATTGCAATTTTATTGATATAATTCTAGTTTATGATAAAAATTATGCAATGATTTATTTTAAATAGAATTTATTAAATAAAGTAGAGTATAATGGTTAAAAAGTTCAAAATGAAAAAAACTTTAAAAATTTTATAATTTAATCATTAAATTGAAATAAAATAAAAATTAATTATAGTAATTCAAGTATTATAAAAATTTATTAATTTATTTTTAATATTATATAGATTTTATATGTGATTAAAATATTTTAAGATATGATAATAATTTTTAATAATAATACCATTTCACTAAGTATTGTGTTATGTAATTAAAGCTCTGAATGGTTTAGATTAATCTGAAATTTTCAGTTCAGATCAACTTCAGTTCAATTTCAGATTGCAAAAAATTCAATCCAAAATTTTTTGGTTCAGTTCAGATTTTTTTCAGATTAAAGATGGTCCCCATAATTATTTTCAAATTTCAATTGAGTTGCAACTTAATTGCGCCATAAGGAAATTTAATTG